AATCGGTAAGATTCAATAGTTTTCGTGGATGTTTGTTTGCACTTTCGAAAACAGAAGTAAGGAAAACAAATGAACCGAGCTGCTTCTATATACGTCCATCGTCTACTAACCAAGAACACTCACATTCACACATACGGACAATTTACAATCACCAATTAACCTCAACATGTTTTTAGACCTTGTGGGAGGAAGCCGGAGAACCCGGAGAGAACCCACGCTGCACGGGGAGAACATGTAAACTCCAAGCAGAACGGTCCCCAAAGGTCCTCACCGGGACGTGAACCGGGGATCTTCTGGCGGCGAGGCGACGGTGCTAAACCACCGAGCTTCTTGTATATGAATAAGTTAAACATCATGAAATATGTAAAAGGTGAAGAGTCACCGCTTCATGTTTCACATGTTGATTCCAGGTTGAAGACATTTCGTCCTCTGTTTTGAGGACATTTCTCTCCGTCTTCATGGTTTTAGGTCACAAGATGTTATATTTTGAAGAAGCATCAATTAGAAACCCAAAGATGCTGCCATAGCGGCTGTTTGAGAGGACAAGCAAATCAGATTATTCATTCCTTCCTATCACGTTTTTTTCTTGTTAATGTGTCCAAATGGTGTTTTTTTTAAAACGCATTTTTACTTTTAAGCTGCAGTTTAATGATACTAATTTCAAAAACACTAAACAGAGCAACAGTGTAGGGTTTAATTCAAGCGATTTTATTGCTCGGAGGGATTATTTCCATGGAGAAAAACTCCCCAAAACTCCTAAATATGTACATTTTATACATGAAAAATGAATGTACAGTGAGGAAAATGTGATTTAAGTAAAGAAAATAGCAGCTGAAGCAACACATTTGTTTTCTAAAGCTCTGGAGTCTGATTCTAGGGGAAATGAACAATATGTGGGGAAGTGATCTTGAACATTTTCAGCCATTTTTTAGTTTCTAATGCTCCACAAACAAGACATTTTAAAGCAGAACGAAGCACCGGTGGTGTCAGCGTCACAACAGTCGACACATCCTTCATCGCTCCTTGTTTCCGGTGAATCCACAGCGACGACCTCGGCCTTTGGCTTTCTGTGGCCGCCCTGCAGCTAACATGTTGGTTTGCAGCTGTTCTGTTGTGTGCAGAAGCTTCTCCGGAACATTAAAACTCGTGTCCTTCTCGTCCACGGGGGACTCGTCTCTGCACCGCCGCCTCTGCTTCTGTATTTTTTTTCTCTAATTGATTTCCGGCGTAGAAAGCCACAGTGCAGGGCGGTCATTTATCTTTTATTCTGATTCATATTTCATCCCGAGCAAAGGAAAAAAAGAAAAAAAAGTGCACTTAAACCCGCCTTTAAGTAGCCGGATAACAGCAGCAAACGCAATAATCTACATTTTCCCCGCACACCTCTGGAAGAACGAGGAGGAAGGAAAAAAAGTCACGAAAAAGCTTCGTGAAATCCATCTTTCGGCGCTTCACATGTAAGTCCTCCTGCGAGAGACCCCGGTTTGAATCAATTCATTTCTCATTTAGCTTCCATCTGTGCTGGATTTACCTCACGTCTCCGTGTCGATTTGTTTCCCGTAGAGCACCGGTTAAGGCTACAAGAAGGAAAACAAATACGGACCAGCGCGTAAAACCGTCAGATTTACGGCGTTCCCTCCGTGTGCAACATCCTGCGTCGCTCCCGAAGCTAGAACGAGGCCTGCTTACGACGGCCGGACGCCTGCAGCACACTTTACAGGGTTTGATGGCTAAATGTGATTAAGAAATGGAATGACACGGCCCCCGCAGACCTTAAATCAGATCTCAGCTTTTGGCTTTGATGCTCGTCGTGTGTAAACAGCGTATCTGGATTTACATGAATTATTCCTCAGATCAGGACTCGTGCTCACGCTGCGTCGTGGCCTTTTCAGACCTTGTTTTTGTTTCGAGCTCCGGCGGCGCGTTTTGCATGCCTCCCGTTTGGTTATTCTACCAGCTGTCGAAAGCGTCTTAATCGCGCTCGTCGGTGTCACTTTAGAGACGGCGGTTTGTTCGGCGTGTCGGGGTGTTTGGAGCATGTTTCCAGCAACGTGTTTTAATCCACGGTTTCATCATTCATCTGAGCTCTAACTGTGTTTATAAGCAAACAAGACCTTCGTCCATCGTCTGCTGTGAAATGCAGATTTTTGTTTTCAGCCTCTTGACAAGTGTTTCATGGAAGCTTCTCGTCTTCTTCTGACAGGACTTTTGCTGATTGGAGTCTTGTTTTATTTTGAATCTGCTTTTCTATCTGACAAACGTTGACGTATCGATCTTCTGGCGGTTTGCTCACTTTCGCTGCTTTGGATGCGACGGATCTGAGTAGTTTTAGTCCATTGTGATGTTAAGAAAGATCCTCTTTGCTTAGAAAAACATAAATCTGACAATAACATAAAGCTTCCCCACTGTGGAAACGTCACCTAATGACCAATATTCTGGAGTTACAATTCTAACAGGTGAACGACGTATTAATTTAGTCGAACAAACCAAAAATACAAACTCGAGGATCTGAAATATTTCTTCTCACATGTCAGAACTTTAAACGTGTTTCTAAAGTCGGCAAACTTTGTGATTTATTCCAGAGTTACATGAAGGAAAAAGCGGGTAAACTAAAGAACAACACAGTTTATTTAGAGTGCTGGATGCGTAACTTTATTTGCATGAACCAGCAGCAGCTAAATCAACTCATGAAGATTTGAGGTGGATAATGCTGCAGTTTTGCATGTTATTGGTTAAACCTGGAATTTAAATGTAAAAATAGTCGGGGTGGGACATTAATTAACACTTTATTAACGCGTTAAAGTCCCACCCCTAATATACTTTAACGTACTAATTCCGATTAATTAATTTCAACAAAAATAACGAGTTAAAACAATTAGCATCAGAGAAGTCCCTGAACTTTCCTCACATGTCCATCAGTAACACCTGAGTCGGTCACAGCTTTATTGTTGTGACAAAAAGTGCAAAATTTTTTATGTTTTTGCAGATTTTGGTTCAAACGGTTTAATATTTGGCAATTTTTGAAAAACAAGACACATAGAATAAAGTGATTTTGATGAAAAATCACAATAATAAGCTCAGGATTGGTTGTTTTTTGTTTGTTTTTTCCCCGACAAAACCGAAAGTCACACGTGAGGAGTTCAAGGACTGTCGGAAAGTTAAAACTCTGATTATTTCTGTGTTTTTACAGTTTCTTGCTCTAAAAAACTTAGATTTTGCATATTTTATAGAACTGAGCCTTTTAAACGTTCAACTTTTACTGTTTTTTCTTCAATTAAAGGTTCATTTGTCTATTTTTTCTTGTTTATTGTGACTTTTTTTTGCTCATATTCGCTTCCAAAAGTCATAAAGGTTTCAGCACGCTTTACATTTCGGGGAATAATTTATACAATTTCAAGTTGAGCTTTCTCGTTTGTTTTTGTTTTGGAGCAAACAAATGAATATTTCTTTTTTCAATCTGCATACAAACTAGTTATTCTCCCACCTGCTGCATTTTAAAGCCCCCGTCTGAAGCCCAACGTCTTTGTTTCTCTGCAAAACGAAGGCGGTCTGAATGTTTTTCGAAACCCAGAATCAGCGCGAATAGATGAGTCTAACGAAAAACGCTCTCCGCAATCTCTCAATCACCATTTAGGCTCCGTCCTCTGCCGGCTGCCTCGGCTCGGCCTGCGTCGGTGGCAGCTGGCTGGCCGCCTTTTTGATTTATTGAAGTGAGTGGGAAACTATGAAGCTTACTTTGTGACAGCCCAGAAGCTTTAAAATTTAAGATGTCATTGAACTGATGAATGGAGGGAGGAGAGGCTGAGGCGGCCGCCGGCGTCATATGTCACTGTCCGAAGCGATGAGGGACGCCGCCCGTCGCCCGGCTCCGGCCGCCCAGAGGCTCCGGCGGGAATCTTAACTCACTCGCGCCGCAGGAACCGGGAATCAAATTTTTACCGTTGAATATGTGGCCGCGGGCGCCGCGTGTTCGACTCCGTGCAACTTCATAAAGATTCAGACAAATGTTTGCTCCCGGCGAAGACTTGATCCGAGGCCTTAACCTCACACGGGAGCGCCAAGGCGAGCGCTTTCGTCTGCTGTCTCGGCTCATCAGCGTCAAGCGCTGCAGACACGCGGCCTTCAAGTGCTGATTAAATGATGGAATAAGCCCGCGATGGAGTTTGACGTCCATATGTGGAATCCAAAGAATCGCGCCAGCTTTAAATTAGAAGCAGATCATCATCATCGCGGGCTGCCTTTCGCCGCCGCCGCCGCCGTGCAGCTTTGGGAGAAACACACCTGCTGACACAGATAGAGTCTCCCCTCGCGATGCTGACAAATAAATTTGCGGCGGGTGACAAATGTGCATCCTTTTATCAGAGTAAGTGTCAGATTTGCTGTGATAAAAGGCAACAAGTAGGAATATTAGCATAGCGCTCGACCGGGGCCGCCGACTGCACAGAAATAACACGAGATATAAGCGAGCTGCTTCCACAGCATCAATCAATACAGTGTGGGGAAACGTGGCGGCGGCGGCGGTGGGGTTATTAATTGTTTGCCCGAGCCCCAGAAAATGTAATTAGTGCATTAAAATTGGGCCACAGGCTGCATTGCTGCACACCTACGCTTCATCCGAGCCATACATCATCCCCGTGCAGGGTCGCGCCTCTGATTGGCTCCATGTTTGGGGTTTTTTTTTTAGCAGGAAAGCAGCAGCAGCAGGAATCTAATCAACTTCTTTGCTGATCAAGCTGAAAGTGGCCACATTAATGTCATATGTGTTTTAGTTTTAATGTGTTATTGCAGCAGAGTGTCTCCTCCGGGTGAAACGTTCGCTCCGACGGCCGGTCAGTAATGATGATAGCATCTCTCCAGATGATGCTTCATGAGCTCAGGCTGACCTCCACCCTGGAATTAAGCAGCCACGTCTCGACTTTTAAATCAGCCGCTCTAATGAGAGGCCAGAAACATGCATTTATCGGCGCTAACGGCCTGTGTTTCTCTCTCTCTTCTCTCAGCTCTACAGCTCCGTGGACTTTGGCAGGAAATGGCAGCTCATCCACGAGCGCGTCACGCCGAACAGATTCTACTGGTGAGTCACCGGCTTCTTCTCCCTTCATCCCCCTCCTGCAAAGTTTTGTTTCGCTCAGGAATGCGGGAAGCGTCGCCGGCGTTCGGCGCCACCGAGCGAGTGATATTGATGGCTCGGAACAAGGCGCGCCACCGACTGGTGACGCCGCCGCCGCCGCCGAAGCGCTGCACGTTTTCCCAGCCCTTCCATACGACCAGGCGGGGATTAATCTGCTGCTCCTGAGCGTCCGAGGGCACTCCACTTCATTTCTGCTCATATCAGACGCATAAATACTGAATTACTATCTGCAGGAGGAGGGGAGTCGGATTTCTGCGGATGCATACATGCAGATGCAGAGTCGTGCAGCAGCGGTGACTAATAATGGATCCGGGACGTTGCTGTCGCTTCCCATCCAGTCACGTCTGCTGCTCACTCCCCCTGCAGTGCACCTACTACGTCTGAAAGTGCACAGTCATCACAAACGCAGGGCCGGATCTATTCCAGCTCGCTGCTCCTCTCCGAGGTGACGGGGGGTTTGTCCGGGATCGCCTCTGGCCGGCACCCGCCCCGGAAAAACTTGCATAAATCTGGAGCCGCTTCAGCGCCACTCCGGTGTAAATCCCCAACAACAATCCATCGCTGGCTTCGCCCTTCACCGCCAAAGCTTCAAGGACGCTGGATGGGGCCTGTGGCGGCGGCGGCGGCGGCCAGGCAGGGCTCCAGTTGGCCGCATTTAGACAATGGCTTCATCGGCCTCCAAGGGATATGAAACGCCGCCACAATGGGAGAGCCGCGTCCGTCCGGTCTAATCCGACGGCGGCGAAGTGAGCGAGAAAGCAAGATAGCGCTCAGAGATATGTCAGGGAGAGCGGTGGCAGTTTGCATCGTTGCTGGAAAGGATGGTTGAAAGTGGCGTTTACACTCGAACCGATTCATTTCAGACTTGGCACGACACCGTAAAGGCACAAAGAATTAAATAAATCACACAAAAACCTTGAAGTAATGTTGAGTCACCGCTTCCTGTTTGCTCTGAACCTTATTCTTCTTCTGAGAAACACCTTCACCGTCCTACGTTATCAGGATATTTAGTGCTCTGGTGTCTGGTTGCTGTTTTCTTCTGGCTTTCTGGTTTAATATATAATAAGTGTTTTAAATGCTAGAAGCTTCGTTAATGTTAGACACCTACAGTACTCAGTTGTTTATTGATTTGTTTTCGACACGCCACAACACCGTAAAGGCATGAAAATAAAAAAAAGATCAAAATAAAGTCTGAAAACGAGACGGATGAAGTAAATCTTACTCATTTCTGTCACTGTGTCTTGTTTGCTTCAAACCTCATTCTTATATTTATCCTTAGAAACCCCCCAAAACACATTCACTGTTCCACATTATTGTTTTATTTAATGTTTAATATATATTTTAATGTCCCACATTATTATATTGTTTAATGTTCTGGTCGTTTCTGTTTACTTTCTGTTTGCTTTCTGGTTTAATAAAGAAAAATACAAACTCTTTTAAAGGTTAGACACCAAATTTACTTATTTAAGGTTTGGATAAATATCATAGTTTGTTCCTCTACTTCTGAGCTGCAACGACATTTAGAGAGGAACGTAAATTACTGAGGTATTTATTGATTTATTGCCACAACACCGTAAAGGCATAAAAAGAAAACTAATCGCACACAATGAGAAAAATTTAATAAATTTATGTCTGAAAACAAGTAGAATAAAGTTTAACTTCCTATATTTTGAGTGGATTTGCGCAGTTATTGGTCGTTTTATTTTGGACGTGCCACAAAAAAAGAAGAAATCAAACATGAAATGAAAAAAATGTAACGTCTGAAAAGGAGTCGGATGATATTTGCTCCAAACCTGATGCTTATAACAGCTTAAGAAACCCAGAGAACAAATTCACTGCAATTTTTTTGTACATTTTCATAAATTGTTTTACACATTTTGAGATCTTCGTTCAGAATCTTTTCCTCTACGAACTGATAAGCATCGCCTCTTCGTGGTTGTACGAGTTTAGAATTTAAATTTCCTCCTGACTGAACATTATTTCTGCCATCCTGGAAAACAAAAACGGTCAAAATGTTGAGGCACTAACGTTGTCCAGTGCTTCTGCTAGCTGATATCTCCTGCTTCTCGGTTGAACAACTCATAAAATCTTTTTACGACGTACAGTGAATCTACGGCATCGACCCAAACAGAAGTCTAATCGTTCTGACGTTACGTCCAACTTTCTATGAAAAATCAACACCATATTATCTGTTCTATGTAATGATAGATGTGGTCTGGTCGGCAGTAATGACCCCAGACTCTGGGACTGAGGCCATTCAAGGCCCCTTGTTGGGGGTTTAGCTCCAACATTTGCTGCATCTCTTATTTACAATTTCCAAGCCGTGCAGTTTCCCGCCATCGTGGCTCTGATATCGCCAGATTCCACACAATCTCATCTGCATATAAATGATGAAAATATCTCCTCTGACACAATTCTTTGATGAGATACGTGCAAGAACATCACCGCTTCTCCCTGCGACTAAGGGCTTAAACGGAAAGTGTTTTCATATCAGATGATGGAAGGTCTGGATAGCCGAGACCGCTCTGACGAAAACAAGATGCAACACGTACGAGTAGCTTCTATAACAAGCCAGATAAGAGCCTACAAGTAAAAGTAGTGAGATTACCCTGAAAATAGCCTCCAGGACTCGTAGACTTATAAAGAAGCCTGTATGGCGGCGGCAGGCCTCGGCTCGATCTTTGTCCCCTCGTTTCTTTTCATCATCCTCACCTCCCTTTGAACCGGCTACTCTTGGATCTTTTTTCTTTCTTCCCCCTTCACATCCTCTTTCTATTAATTGTCAATACCTCCTCTCTGTCATTCTGCAGGTCCGTCGCCGGCCTCGACAAGGAGCCGGACCTGGTCCACATGGAGGCTCACACGCCGGATGGAAGTAAGTGTGGCGGCACAAAGCCGAGTAACGAACGGGTCTCTATAGGGGCGCATTCCTGCCGCAGAAAACAAGGCGTCCCCGGGGAAACGGCGGCGGCATCAATAAACCTGATTCCTGATGAATATGGCCTTTCTTCTGTTCCCCTTTCACTGTCTGAATGTCAGCGCCATAACTCTGAGCGCCAAGGTCTTCCATAGGGGACACAGGTGAAGCTGAGAGGACACAAGCTTCTTTTTTTCCCAGTTTTTATACGTTTCTCATAGCGCTGCAGCGTGACTGACAGGCCGAGATGCTTGTTTGTGGCACCTGCACAATGAGAATAAATCAGGTGCTACAAAGAGAAGCAAATTAGTCAGAGAGAAATGTCAAGTTAGAGATATCTAATTGAGAGGAAACGTTTAGCGTATAAAGAACAGCTTATCAGGAGGGCTTTGCTGCCGCTCTACCAACGTGTCTTCCTGTGCGACAGATGTGCAGTACGTCACGTGCCGGGTCCAGATGTGCACGGAGGCCAACAGGAACTACCCCTTCCACGGATTCGTCGACATCAGCTCCTTGGTGGTGCAGGACGACTACATATTCATCCAGGTACGGTCGCCAGCTGCTGCGCGATGGATTATGCAAATGTGAAAATGTGTAAAACATGTTGCGTATCGATCGGGGAGCTCCTATAAAGTCGCTTATATGTTTACAGTCGGATGCAGGTTGTGAGTTTTTCTGGGTTTTCACGGCTCACTGTGCCGCATGCTAATGCTCCGAGCTAAGCCGCCACGAGTTAGAACCGTCTTCTGGTAGCTTTTGGTCGACATGTGAGGAAACTGGGTGAAAGACATCCAGCAGGAGTCGTTCAGTTCAGCAGTCCAGCTTTA